ACCAGCGTCCAGAGTTTCGTTAGGAAGGCTGGGACATTGCTGGAGTACCCATCCATCACCAGAGAGCTGGGGGAATCCTGCATAGCTCCTCAGTGCCCCAGCCCCACTAACCCCATGGCTGTGGCGCGCCCGCCTCCCCGCACGCGCCTGCGTCCCGCACGGACTGAGCCACCCAATTTTATCCCAGGCCAGTGGAAAGTAGGCGTCCAGGGAGTCACATCAGCAGTGCTGCTCGCACTCTTAAAAACTCAGCACAAAGCGATGGCATCACCAGCCCAGAGAACAAAGCAGAGAATGAAAGTGCACTGCAGCCGATCTCGGCGCGGTGAATAAACACGCAGCGTCATGCAAAGGGGGCACGTGCTGGGCACCTTCTGCTGGCAGGGGAGCAAAGTCACCGCAGGGAACCCACCTGCCCAGAGCCCGAGGGATGCCCAGGCACGGCAGGGCCAGGTTTGTGAAGGCATCTGGATTGTTATTTTGGAATTTTCCTGTCCTAAGCTTTGGCTGGCATGCATGAACAAGGGCTGGCCAGGCCTCAGGGCTGTCAAAATTTTAAGCTGGTTTGGCCACAGATCCCATATTATTTGTCAAGAGAAATTATCTGTCTCTTGGGTGAGAAGAGAGGGTGCTAAAAACAGCTACATATAGAATCTAATATGCTTTTATTATCAATATAAATGCCTTAGGTAGCTCTAAATACATGCTCGCAGTGTAGCTTAATGCCAGGATCATTTCTACTCAGAAACTGCTCTTCAAATAACATAATAACATGTAAAATCAAAATTAAATTTTCCTGAGGTCCTTAGCAAAAACCTGCAAAGGCTAAGCTTGACATTCCTGCAAAAAAATGAAAGAGAGTTCTTCTCACCTGAAGCCTGCAGAGTCCCTTAAGACCAAACACCAAAGGAGTCAGGAGGTGAGAAGAATCAGTCACCAGAAGGACCCATTAGATAAGTAAGATACAGGATAAGGATAACAATTCAGTAACTTTTCTTTGCCATTTTCAAAAGGCCACTTGGAACGAGGTATCTAAGAATGGAACGTTTCCCCTAGAGCCTGAATCATCAGCAGCAACTGAAAGAACTCAGCATAAACACAAATTTCTCTATTATATAAGGAGGTGCCAGTCATGCAAGATAACATCATCACACAGAGGAGTCACAATGTCAGTAATGTCATAGCAGAGTGGGGTGTGTGGTTTGATATGCACTGGAAACAATGACCTGGTTCTTCCTGCAAAGATGCTGGGATATGGAAACCCACTGCTCTCACCTGAGCTCTGTGCAGGGGCCACCAGAGCGGGGAGGATCAGCTGCAGCCCGTGGTCTGCACCCCGGGGCACTGGGCATCCACCTCCAGAAGAGAACAGAAGGTTTGCACGAGGAGTTCTTCTGGGATGCAGCTCCACAGCTTTGGAACTGCAGCAGACAAACAGAAGAGACACAGACACACATTAGGATCTATTTAACAAATCAAACCAATGCAACCGGACCACAGAGGAGGTAAAAAAAAAATTCAAACTTGAAATTTCACCCAATTTCGAATTTGAACACAAAAACCAAGGAAAATCTGTTGGCCAGCTGTTTTACACAGTTTTCTTTGATCAATCCTAAGAACCTAAGTGATACTTTTCAAGAGTTAAAGATGCCAGATCAAAGCTTTGGGGGCAAAAAAGGCCTTTTTTCCTACAGTGAGGTTTTGCTACCCTGAGTAATAAAAATGCAAGGGAATTTTCTAGTACTGCTGCAGTGGTATTCAAAAAGCTGAGACAGATTTCTCAAACTGTGGGGGAAAAAACCTCTTTGCAAGCAGAAGCTCTGAACAGAAAACAGCCCCACATATCCATTTTTTACTGATAGTGCAACACAAGGCCTAGAGTAGAAATCAGCAGCATAATGACAGTGGTCCTTGCCTGTGATGAGATGTTACAGTTTGGAAATAAAAACGTTTTATAACTGTGACTCCAGTTTGTAGAAACTGCATTTACACATCTGATATAAAAAGGGAAAAGTATATTTTGATCAACCTTCCCTGTGAACTACAATGCAGAAGAATAACCAACTGGAAAGAAGGCTGAGGTTCAGAGCATCAGACCTTTTTTATCCATCTTCCAAAATGCGTTGTATCCATCTTTGAGATTTCTGCACAAACAAAACCACCACCATGACATATTTTTTCAGCCCTCTCATGACCCAACAAGGGATTTTTAGAAGCAAACCTTCCCCTTCCTAGACCAGCACTGGAGCATGGGCCAAGTCTCTTACTCTTTCTCTGAAATTCATGGCATTCCCTCTTGCTTTGGAAGCCCCAGGTCTCAGAGTCACAGCATTATCTCAGCATCACAGGTCTCACTGAAATGAAAACCTGTGCACCCAGAGATCCTCAAAGCAGGGAAAGAGTTGAAAACCATGAAGCAAGTATGGAGCAGTGAGACAGAAAGCATAACACAGAGAGGAACACAACTGCACAGTTTTGTAGAATATGAGGCTCTGAAGCATAACTGGTTATTCTGAGTGTGAACAGCACAACAGCTCTACTATCTTATCTGCCATCGTATCAGCCCCCTTCCACCCAGCAGGCCTTGAGCAGCCAAGGCCTGCTTCCTTCCTGGGAACTCAGCATTTTCTCTGACAATCACCTTGACTGCTCGGACCCTGCTTTTCTACTTTTAGCTGCTTTTAATACTCGTTTGCCAAAATGTCAAACCAGGCAAAGGCCTTACGTGAGATCTCACGTGTTCAGCTCCTTTCATTTTATGATTTCTTTAAACCCTTTGGAGCCATTAAGAAGGATCTTGAATCTCTTAGACAGCAAGAGTGCATTTTTAGCTGTGGTGGTTGCTTGGAAAAGCTGAAGAGTATGGCCTGAGCACAGGAAGGGAGGCAGAAGGGCAAAGTTAATAGTGTTAAAGCAGCTGAATGGGATTGGGTCAGCCAGAAACAGGGTTCATGGTCTCTGAGCACTGCAGGCTGGCCTGGGCCCCCCTTCAGAGCCCACCCCAGTGAGGACAGCAGGCTTGGGCCAACTTTACTTCCCAAGTGGGAAACAACAGGATAAAACTCTAAGTGCTCATTATCCCACCCCATGGGATGCTCCCTGAAAGCACATACTCAGCGAGGGTTAGCAGATGAGAAACTCAGGTCTCAGGTACCCTTTTCTTTTTTATCCCCACAATATGCAGCAAACAGAGTAGCTTCAAGGAAAAAACGTTCACAGGACACGGTTGGGTGGTGCTCCCCACAGCAACTCACCCTGTGGTTCCCAGTTTTGGGTTTTGTAGGGGAAGGTTGAGATGTCTGGGCTCATTTAAGCCCATCAGCCCTTAAATGCATGAACTTGCTTGCTTAAACTGTCAGCAAGTCACCTGCCTGGCTTCCAGGAGCACTGGCACTGCCAGGCCTGCTGACCCTGACAGGGTCTGTGGGTGCTATTCTGACGCTTGTAAACCAGAGCACCCAGCAGAGCCAGCCTAGATTAACCCCTTCCCAGAGCTATTTCAGTCACATTTTCCCTTTGGCAAACAAATTAAGTTTGTATTGTTAAAATACTACTATTGTAAAATAGCATCAAATGCATAGGTATTTTTAATCCTTTATAATGCTTCCTGCGTTTGTTTGAAGTTCAGGTCCCCAGGGAGTTTGCACAAATCACTGCCAAGCCAGAGGGACGACGGCAGCTTGCACAAAATCCGGCCCCAGGTCCGTGCCAGCTCCTTGCCAGCTGGGGACAGACCAGGGGGCTGCAGTTACCCCTCTGCTCACAGGACACCTGTGCAAGGTAAACGCAGCCTGGGCAGGAGGCTGTGACCTGAGGTTCAGCGATGCAGACCCCAATCTTGCTTTGCTTGGCACTGGCCCTCTCACGGACTCGGGAGAAGCTGGTTTGTCCTCTCTCCCTGCCGGAGCTCTCCTCAGCAGCACCGCGGGGGCAGCGGAGCGGTGCCAGCCGGGCCCAGCCCCGCGTGTGTCCGCAGGGCTCCCATGGACCCCCTGCCTCCGACCCGACGGCCCGGGACAGACCCGCGGCCCCAGCCGTGGGCGGCTCTGCGGCCCCGGAGCGGAGCATTTCCGACCAGTGTCACACCCTCACCCACACGAGAGGCCGAGCACCGGGGCCGGGTGTGCGGCTGAGGAGCCCCGGGCGGCCCCGCGGGAGGACGCCGGCAGGGTGGCCGGGCCAGCAGGAGGCTGAGGGGCCGATTCCCCTCCCTCAGCCCGGGCCCGGGCCGAGCCGATTCCCCTCCCTCAGCCCGGGCCCGGCGGGCGGTGCCGCTGGGGCGGAAGTGCCGGGGCCGAGGCCGAGCGGCGGGACGAGGTAACGCCGGGCCCGGGGCTGCGGCGGGGCCGGGCCGGGCCGGAGGGGCTGGGGCACACCAGGGGCACACCAGGGGCACACCAGGGGCACACCCGGGGCACACCCGGGGCACACCAGGGGCACACCCGGGGCACACCAGGGGCACACCCGGGGCACCGGGGCCCCGCGGGCGGCACCACCGAGGGCAGCGCTCCTCCAGCGCTTCCCCGGGACAGCCCGCGGCGCGAGGCCGGGGCGGGCAGGGAGCGGCAGCGCCTGAGCCTGCCAGGAGTCGGCGAGAAGGGCAACAGCCATGGGCACAAACGAGACTTTCAGCCGGGGCTGGTGTTCTGACAGCACGAGGGTGCGGAGTGGGGACTGGGGCGGGCAGCGCTCACGGGGCTGCACAATTCACCTGCTGGGATAACACTGCAGGGGCACGACAGCAAAGGGCACAAGCAAAGCAGAGGAGTAGTCCTGAGCCACAGAATCACAGAATGGTTGGGGTTGGAAGGGACCGTTCAAGGCATAGTCCAGCCCCTCTGTGGTGGGCAGGGACATCTTCAACTTGACCGGGTTGCTCAGAGCCCTGTCACACCTGACCTTGAATATTTTCAGGGATGGGGCACCCACTACCCCTACCCCTCTGTGCAACCTTTGCCAGCGTTTCACCACCCTCATTGTAAAAAATTTCTTCCTGATATCTAGTTTAAATCTGCCATCTTTTAGTTTAAAACTATTACCCCTTGTCCTATTTGTGTAGAGTGTTCTGCTACAAGAGCTCTGGGCTCTGTAACATATCCTTTACTGAAGACAGCCAGGGGACTGGGACCTCAGGCAGAATGCCTCTGCCAGCAGTAGGGCTTCAGTCCATGGGAAAGTGCCAGAACCAGGACTCCTGGAGCACCTCAGGGTTTGTCAGCTTGGCTGGTCAGTCAGAGGCACGAGGACTGAAACTCTTTGCTTTGTAGTATATTTGGACTATGAAATGAATGGACTCCAGTGGAAAATGAAAGCAAAGCTTTGTGAGCTGCTGGTTTTGGGACACCATGTCCCTGCTGTCCTGTGCTTTGCAGAGTAACAGTAAACTCCTCAAAGGTTACACTTGCTATAACAACATCAGCACTGCTCTAAGAAATGAGGGTACATCCCCATAATTCCATCATGCTTGTGGCTCAGTGTTTGCTGTAAGCACTCCCCTGGCATCAGGCCATTTTCCCTATGGTCTCTCAGCTGGCTGTGTGATTTTGTAGGGTGCTGAAGATGGCAGGCAGCTCCACTCCCTGGATTGGCAGTGCTTACCTGTTCCTCCAGTCGACGAGCAAGACCGTCGTTCTGCCATCCCTCTACGAGAGCTCCCAGGAGAAGCCCGGTGTGTTCAGGGCACTGAAGCTGGCATTGGCAGGTATCTGTTCTCTCTCATCTCTTGGTGTGCTGTCTCCTCTCTTCACACAGTGCAATGCCTTTCTCTAATCTCACACTCATGGGCAGGGAAAGCTTGTCCTCACTGTTTAGGAAAGACAACAAAGTGGAGTAAGTTCAGCAGAGGTTCACCCTGTGAGGAGAGGCTGAGGGAGTTGGACCTGTTCAGCCTGGGGAAGAGAAGGCTTCAGGGGACTTACCAAACAGCCTGCTGATACCTGTAGGGAGGGGGAGATGGAGAGGGAAATGAGAGGGAGACACCAGACAGAAGGACATGTCTTCCCCATGAAGACAGGCAGTTGCAAAGTCCTGTCTTTTGAGGTAGCTTTACAGCTGACTTGAACACTACTCATAAAGGTTTCCATGTCTGTGCAGCTTTTCCTCCTCATCCCTCTTATCCTGTTATGGCAGCTTTTGTTTAATAAGCACTCACAAAAAAAAAAAGTATGAAGGAAGAGATAAAAAGACACTTCTGGTCATCCACAGTGAATTAAAATGCCCCATGTCCCAGTTACACATCTGGTCCAAACTAGACTTTCTGATGCAACCAGGACTCAGTAAACATGTAAAGCCACTGTTAGATGGCAGATCACTTGTCCTGCCTAGTGTGGAGCACACATTGTCCTCCAAGCATGGGATTGTTCTTACCTTGGGATTGTCCTCCATGCCATGATGTGTGGTTTAGCAGTACCTGAGGTAGTGCCAGTCTGAGCTGCTGCCTCCACACAACCCTGTGTAATGACAGGCCAAGAGTTTGAGTCAGGTCTGGAAGCAGTACAGCAGCCTCCCATGGGCCTCTGCTGCAAAAAAAGAAAAACCACATACTTTGAACTGTCATCATCAGCATATAAAGTCACTGTGGAAACAAGATCGATGTGCACAGCTAATAAAAATTAAATTTTCCTGGGAAAAGGAAGCCTGGCAATTTCTGTTGTCCACATTGCTCCTGCTCCTCTTACAGTAATGTCAGAGGGTACATCCCTGGCTTCTCCTTGCTAAGATTTTACTGTGAATTAATCCTCTGTGCAAAAGGCCTTAACAAGTCAAGGCCCAGTCTCAGGCAGCTTAATTCCTGTGACTGGATCTGTCATTCACAGCCAAAGTTACCTCTAGGCACAGACTGGAGAGGAAACACTGGGTCTCTTTTGAGGACCTTCATCACTGCATAAAACTCCAGTCACAAGGACTGAAGACTGAGTGAGCACTGAGCTGAACTGAGCTTTCATCTGTAAAACTTTCCTGTGCTACCAATTTAGCGTAACCATCTCTGCCCTGGAAATGGAACCTCAAATTTAAAACTTCCCCTAATAAACAGTGTTGAAACAATTACCTGGGATGTAGTTCCAGTCATCCTCAGTTGGACACCATACTTCATGGAGATCCATGGTGGCAGCGAGAACTTAATCCTTCCCTCTTGGTTTTACGTGCAGGCTTTTCATCCCAGAGAACTTTGTCACAAAGAGAATTCAAAAGCTGCTCCATTGCAGGCTTGGTGGTGGATGGGAGTGGGTCTGGGTGGGCTGTCTCATGCCTGGATAGTGACTCCGCTCACTTCTCCCTGCCAGACTCCACAGGCAGCATGAATGGTGTGGACATGCTGAAGGTGCACTGCAGCCACCCCCAGCTGATAGTGCAGCTCAAGTTCTGCAGGCAGGAGAACTGCCGCCGCTTCCTGCGCAGTTACCGGGACGGAGCGCTCCAGAAGGCCCTCCAGAATCACCTCCAGCTCTCCTTGGCCATGACCACAGTGCCTCTGGAAATGGAGCTGAAGACTGGCAGTGAGCACCTTGACAACATGCTGAAGGATGAGGATCATTGCCTGGAGTGCATCTACAGAGAAAAGGTGAATGGGAGGGGAGGGAGGGCAGGCAGCAATGAGGAGTGGTGGCACAGGGCTTGTGAAGGTGGCTGCAGATATTGTTCTGATGCAGCATGTTGGGTTGACAAACTTCTTCCTTTAGTTCTCAGCTGTAATGTGGAGAAACAGCTCTGCCCTTCCCCAGAAAAGAGCCGTGCACTTTTGCAGAAGGGCAGTAGCATTCCCTAAAACATCCTACAGAGATCCTGCTGAATCCCCGTGGCTCCTGTGTGTAACAGCATGGTGTTATCCCCACTAAGATGAGGAATGCTAGAGGGTGCAGCTGAGAGCTCTGGCTTCTCTAGCAGGTCCTGAGAAATAGGTAGTCACCATGTATTCAGGAAGATAAGCACACGAGCAAGTTTTGCCAGGTTGCTTCTCTGCAAGCAGAGAATGAGACTCAAACCTTTGATCCCTGGACCAAACAACATGTGTTATCCCATACCCTGTCAGCTTTGGCTTGCTGCTCCCTCCCTCTGCTGACCTAGCTGACTGGACAAAAGAGATGGGCTTATTCTCAGTTCCCCAAAAGTGTCTGTCTCAGTCTGACCCCACCTAACAGGCCACAGTCAGAAAGATGGCAGTGGGGCCCAGCTGTCAGCAGCTGAGGGCAGTGCTGGGACCTGCTGCACATGATGAACTAGTGGTTAGTTCTGACTGAGTCAGAGTACTCACCAGGTTTGACTCTTCCCATGTGCTTTGCCTTCTTTACTCCTTTCCCCATTACCTGCTTTTTGGAGGTCAGACTAGTTTTCCCTTGGTTAGTGAGAAAAACTGGCTTGGCAAGGACCCAGGAACAATAAACCTTAGGGAACAGAGGGACAGAGACAGAAGCAGGAGCTGCCTGCTTTGGTGGCCATGAGCCATTGGATCAGGTCACCCTGTTCTGTGGGTCTGACCCTCGTGGAGTTTGGAGGAGCCTTGCTGCCTATAGTGCACCCTAATTCTTGCAGAAGGCTATTGAAAATAAGCAGTTTTGTGCAGCTTGTAAGCACTGCACAGGAGAAACCCAGGAGGGGAGATGGTCTGTGTCATATCACATTACAGATTCAAATTCACACATTAACAGCCAGAGCTCCATCAGACTGTCTCATTTAGCTGGCTTACAGCTCATGCTGTGGCTATCTCATCACTCCCCTCTTGACACCATCATCTTAAGCTGCACCTTCTAGCTAAGTGCCCAGAGCTTTGCAGGAGGGTGACCCTGGCAGGAGTCCCTGACGGTGTGTGCATTGCAGCCTGACCGCCTGCGCGATGAGGAGCTCACGGAGCTGGAGGAACACCTCAAGAGCCTGACTGTCCACCAGAGCACCACCAACAACGTGGCTATAAAAGACTGTGCACCTCTCAAGTCCCCATCTCTGCCTTATCCTTCTCCAGGCAGCTCCCTTCCCCCACCAGGCACCTTCATCTTTCAGGGACAGCAGTTTGGTGAGTAGTTAGAACTAACCAAGAGAACCCTTGGTCTTCCTTGCCTCACAGCCTGAGGGAGGATTACCATGACTGCACAATGGGGGTCTACCTCAGATAAATCAAGGATTTCCCAGCATCCCATAAGGAAGGAATTATAATGGTCCTAAAATATTGTCATAGTGCTTCAGATCAGGCCTCAACCTGTTTTCTTTTCTGGGGTGGCACAAAACCAGATGCTTCAGAGTCTGTGTCCCTTCCAGGTTCCCCACATTTTAAAATTGATACTGAAAGGAAGAATATATTTTTCTCTTCCTCCATGTCACTGGCTGAGGTGAGTTAATAGCGTAGGTTGGATTAGACTGTGGAGATTACTAAGGACACCCTCAGCCCTGCTTTTAGACAGGACTGATTTTCCAGGCTCCCTGCAGTACACCAGCTGCCCCTGGGGTCTGTCCCTACAGAGAGCTTTCAGACAGTCTCACATAGCAATGGTAGCTTGGATCAGCTAGATCATTTCTGAGCTGTGTGCAGGCTCCAGTGCTAAACAGTTGAGGAGAGAGCTCTTTAGGTTTCAGTATTTGGAGGATACTTAGGTAGAGAACAGGAGACTTTGACTTACCAAGTTGCTTTCGAAAGGCTAAAACAAATGAAGAGGATGTCCATCAGGAAAAAAAAGAGCTCTGGCAAACCACAGCACAGTCCTGGGGGAGAAACAAGAAAAAGAAAAAAGGCATTGCCAAGCTTGCAGGGTAGGGGCAAGCCCAGATGCTCTGATGATGTTGTGGGAGGATTTCAATAAGGGAACAGCATGAGCAAGTCAAGAAGCTCAGAGGTGCCAGGGCACATGGCTGTGAGCAGGTAATTGTGTCACCACGTGCTACAGGTTTGCCCCCCGAGGCAGCAGCAGCACCCTGGGGGCTGGCAGACTGTGGAGAACTGAGATGTGCAGCTGATGCACAGTGAGCAGGGAGGCTTAACTCCTGCTGGATTTCCCTTTCCAGTGGTGGGGGAACTGCTCCCAGCAGGACAGTCCTTTTTACTTCACTGCCCCAACCTCAGAGTGCTGAGACACCAGAGGACAGGCAGAGCAGCTTCACAGCAGTGTAATAACATGCTGTGGACACTGAACAGCTTCCCTGCTCCACAGAACACTGACCAAACCTTGGACCGGCCCAAGCTGCATCACATCAGCCATGAAAGCTCTGTGTCTTACCTGCCCTCTGTCCCTTTCAGACAACAGAACAATCACCCTGGATGACCACCAGAAATTTGCCAAGCTCGTGTCCAAGAAGTGGAAGCAGGTGGGTCGCTCTTTGCAGAAGAGCTGCCGGGCCCTGCGTGATCCTGTCATTGACAACCTGGCCCTGGAGTACGAGCGAGAGGGACTCTATGAACAGGCCTATCAGCTGCTCCTCAAGTTCATCCAGTCAGAGGGCAAGAAGGCCACAATAGCACGGCTGATCACAGCCCTGGAAGAAAACGGTCTCATCAGCTTGGCTGAGGAGCTCCTGGGCCTCCACTCCAACGAGGACTGCTCCTAGAGCCCGAAGGGCAGTGCCATTGCTAAGGGCTTTCCTGCTTTAGCTACTGTGTGAAACTGCTGCCAGTTTCTGGGAATGTGAAGCCCTGAAAATCACCACAGGTTTCCATCTAGGTTGGAATGTCCAGGGGAGAGGCTCTGTGCTCACAGAAGCCAGCATGGACCTCTTACCTTCCCTATTTCGTTGTGTTTCCAGAAGTCAGCACTATCTTCCTGTGAACTGGTGAGAGAGGCTTCCAGCCTGACTTCCTTCAGGACTGAGGGAAGGGAAGGTAGCTTCCTTCAGGACTGTCACAGGAAAGCAGCCAGACAGAGAGCCCTGGGGGAGAGTGGGGGAGAGGAGAAAAGCAAGCAAGGAATCTCAGAGAATTTTTCTGGGAAGCAGACAATGCCACTGCTTCTCAGGCTGTGTCTCAGGGCCATCACCTGGGGAGCTGCAATATATTTTTTATATTGAAGACATTTATGCCCTCAGGCATGACATCAAGAAAAGACAGAGGGGAAATTAAGGAAAAGTCTATTTTATATTATTTTCCTTTTCTGTTTGAAAAATATCTGTGGCAAGTGCATCTGTCCTGCCCTGCTCTATTATAGCTCCTTCCCACACTCACCACCTGAAGGTTTCCCTTCCAGCTGGAACAGCCATAATCTTCCACAGGGCACAGGACTGCTGCTGTGGAACAAATTCCAGGCACTGAACAAGCAGTGTGGACAAACTCAAATTCAGACAACGATTCTCAGCTTTCCCTGGTCTGTGGTGGACAGTGATACATTGAGCACATCGTGCTCAGCTCCTGCCTGGCAGCTGAGGGAGCCTCAGCTGTGGAGAGCAGTCTCCTGGTCAGTGAGTGACCATCGTGGGTTGGAGCTGCTGCTCCAAGGTGTGTCCCAGCAGGGAGAGCCACCCTGACCCCACAGAGCTGAGCAACCCCCTGGCCAGGGGCTGCTCCTGCCTTCACTCCCTTCTCACCCTCCCACCCTGGGCCTGCTGAGCTCTCTGGAGGGGCAGCTCACACCCCACATCCCACGGGATCTGCACAGAGCCTTTCCCTGAGCAGCAGCTGCTGCACCTGGATTTACCTGCACTGATTTTTAGGGTAAAAGTGGCTGAAGAGACAAATCTCCCAAATCCCAGGGCTGACCAGTTCCCGTGGGAGAAGCTGAGTGTCCCCTGGTGTGGCTGAGCAGACTGAACAGAGCAGGCTACACCTCTGCCCATAACAAAGCACAGAGCAACAAGTGTCCAGCATGACACGGGTCCTGTGAGGCACAACAGCAGCTGGACATGTTCCCAAGGCTTTCCTGATAGTTTTTTACTAATCCTTTTCAAATAATTCTATCTCTTTTTGCCTTCCCACTTGTGGGAATAGCCAGTGGGCTGTGGAAGCTGTTTCAGCTGCAGAGGGTGGCTCTGGCTGCACACATAAACCCTGTGTGCATGGGTGACTATCAGGCTGCTGGCAGTCATGGTAGGACCAGCTTCCAGTCAGGCCCTGATGGCCTTTTAAACCACATCTCACACCTTAATCCTTCCCTGGAGTCAAAGCTGTAATTCAGTAAGAAGGAATGCAACCTCAGGTTCAGGTGTGGGCCCAGACCTGAGCTCCTGGGGCTGGAGCTGCTCCCTCAGCTTCTGCTGAAGTGGAGACCTGGCTGAGCAGGATTTAGATGTCCAGCTTCTACCCAGGTGGGATCCACATGCCTCAGGTGAGATGAGCATCACATCCCTCAGTATAAGCCTGAGAAACCTCACTTGTTCTCTGCAGATTTTGAACCCCCAAGGTTCCATACACAATCAGGAAGGGGATGGTGGGGGTTAAGGATGGGGAAGATGTTTTCAGGGTGTATCTGCTTCTGTCTTGCCCTTAACTTCAAAGGAAGCAGGACTTTATGCAGGCACCATCTCTGCAAAGACTGTGGCTTTTGTCAGTACCACTGCAGTCTCATCTCCTCCACTCCTGCTCCACATCCTACCCTCTCCCTTCCACTAATACCAATGCTCTTCCCAAAATGCAGCACTTACCTCTGTGACAGTTTTGCTTTTGGGACCAGCGCAGTGATGCTGACCTTAGTTAATTTAGGCTGCTGTGGAACCATGCCTCAAAGCATTTAGCTTTCCTGCCAGATCCCAGCTGGGGAACTCTGTTTGGCAGCAACCCACCTGCCAAATGGTATTTCAAAAAATTTTAAAAGTCAGAAACTGGGAAATTACTTCAACAGCAAGAGGGTTTGCTCTTGATTTTGCAGAAATGATTTTTTAAAGAAGATAAGGTCATATGCATAGCCTGCTGTCTTATTTGTAATAAGTTTTTCTAAGCTCTCAGATTAGGTATTCATGTACACAACTTTCACATAAGGCAGCCTCTGAGTAGTGAGAATTACTAGTTTTTGTAGTACCTGTTAATGCTTAAAATGAGAAAGTTGTATTATTCAGCATCTCCTTCAAGTCCAGAAAACTTTGCAGCCATTGCTGTTTTACAGAGCACTAAGCCTGAATGCTTTCTCCTGACTGCAGGCACTGTGCATTGTCCTTCTCTGCCAGCACTGGCACGGGTATTGCCTCTTACTCACACATTCCCTCTCAAAAGTGCCATTAAGTGCTGGAGCCTCTGGCAACCTTTGTGGAATATCATCATCTTTAACAGCATTCACAGGTGCCTTCATTGCAAAGACTTGCAGGAAAAGGGTTTTCCAGGGATATTTCATGGTGAAATTAAGTGCATTGCATGTTTTAGGACCATAGCAGTGGCTGTTTCATACCTGCTTTTCCATGATCAGTCATCAGCATCAGGTGCAGTGAAAACTTCAGTTCTGGTCTCAAGTGGACTCCTTCCTGCTGAAAGAGTAGCTTTTGTTAGCATTATCTGGCACAGAAATAGATAGAAACAACTTTCCCAGAGGCCTTAGAATGAAAGTTGGATGGTCAGTTGGATGGTGAGGACAGGATGTCATTTGCCTTGGTGTGGCATTTGGCTGGAGCTCCACTCTGAGTTTACTTCTGCTTTACCCAGAAGATTTTCCAGCGGTTTTACACCACTGTGCAAACACAAGGGAACTCTTATCACACAGGGAAGGGAGAAGCACTCACAAAGGAAAAACCCTTAGCAGAGATTGCTGCAGAAACTGGGGGCATGTCCTTACCTTGGGCAGCAATGCAGTGAGTGGAGTGCAGAGAGGGAGGTGTTGGGGACACTTGGTGACACACCTGGCACTGGGGAAAAAAAGATATTTTCGGGGTGGTGGTGGTGTTTCAGAATCAAACACAATATTAAAAGCAAATAAAGGTGCTAATCAGTTGCATATAAGACCTGAAATAGATAAAATATAAAACAGAAAAAGACCAGCCCAAAATGTGCTTAGAGGAAGGGATCCCAGAGGGCTTTTTTTTGTGGTGCAGATTGTTTTTGTAGTTTTAACCATGCTTCAGATTTGAAGGAGGCTCCTTTCAGTCTGCCAGAAGGAATAAAAGATCCATCCAAAGGAGGATTTGAATGATTTGTTTTGGCATAGCTGAGCTACAGTGCTCAAACAGATGATAATAAAGAAGAGAGTGAAAGTTAAATGCTCACCAGATATACTTTGACATGAGGCATCTGATAGAGGAAAACCTGTCAGGATACCCTGATATGAAATTGTCTCAGAGGAAAATACCTCTTTATTTCCCATTCATTTCAAACCTGGGTTTGGCACTGAGAAGTTGTCCTGGGTCACTGTGTCACCTCCCACCTGCAGTTCCAAAGGGAGCCACCTCCAAGTCACACCCCGGCACTTTGAAACCAAAAGCAAGTATGCACAGCAATGAGGAGCCTCACTTAAATTCACTTACATCGATGATTTAGTTTAACTGAAAATTCTGGTGTAGCCATGAACCCCTGGTATTGTACACCTTGAACTGAGGAGGAACTAGAACAGGAGTCAAGAGGGTTTTGTGAGAGCAACCCACAGACTGGAGTGTGTGCAGGACACTGGTGAGATCCTTGGCTTTACACCAGACAAGGTCTGCCCTTGTCATTTGTATGGAGATGGACTCAGACAGTGAAGCAATTTAAGGCCTAGAGTCAAAAATTATATATTATTGTCTTCTGTGGATTGAATTTTAGTCACTGAAGGGATCTGGCCATACATCTCTAACTGAAACCTGCAGGAGATGTGTGGTTGAAGTCTCTTAGTTGTCAGTGGAAAATCACTTGCAAATCTAATTCCAAATTCCCATGATATTCAGCATCAGATCTGGATCAGCCATCTACAGCTATGGACTGCAATGCTATGTATCCTTGGGTCTAGGACATTTAACCTCCAAGGAATTGTCTTTTATAGAAAAAAACCACTGGTATATTTTTTTCTCTATTCTTTTTTATAAATAAATACATACTTTTGATGACAAATGCCTCAGAGACTTTCATTGAACACTCAGGGCAGGAGGAAGAAGGGGGTTCACTGCAGTTCTGGCCACGCTGGTGATCCCCAGCTCTCGGAGGAACATCCAGCCTGAGGCTCTGGATGCACAGCAGGGTCCTGCCCAAGGTCAGGTGTTCCTCCTGACACCCCAAGGGTGCCCCACCTGCAAGGGGATGGCTCTGGCTGCAGGTCAAAACCAAGCCAAGCCACCCTGGTTGTTCAGCTTCCAGTTACTGCTCTGATGAGCCTGTTCTCAGCAACCATGGCCAGAAGGGGAGGTTTCTCCCAGCCCTGGTACCTGGCAGAGCTCCCTGTGCTCCTTTCAGTGCTGCTGAGGTACCTGGGGCTCCTCTGAGGCCACAGCCCCACTGCAAAGCCAAGTGCCTCGCTGGTACTGAGCTTTGCCACAGGGCTGCCTGCTCCCTAGGTGGGGAGCCAAGGAGCTTGGACCTGGAATCTCCAGCAGCTTTACACAGGAAGCCACTGGCTGACCTGACAGCTGAGTCCAGGGAAATTCCTTTTGCCATGAACTCGAGCAGAGCTGTATTTCACCCTGAATCGCTTAAATCTCAAACACCATTTGAAAATCACAAGATCAGCCCTTCTTTATCCACCACAAACTGTATTCCCAACTGCATGGCTTGATGCCTGCAGGAGTACAGTGACAGGGAGCAGGGCTCTGCCCTACAGCAGCTGGAAGGACACACCAGCCGGGGTCAACAGGGCTGACCTGATGGGGTCAGCAAGGCCAATGACCCAGCCTGGTGACACAGTGACACAGCACGGGACAGACCAGGGGCACCTCTGCTGGGAGTGAGAAGAATAAACCAGTTGTGCATCAGTGCCCAGGGAACAAGGTCCAGGTGAGACAACCAGCACGTAGAAGCACCCATGGAGAAGCTGCTCCACCTCCCAAGCTGCTTGCACAGCTCTCCAAGCCACGGCAGCCACAAAGGCACCACACATCAAGGAAAGCCTCTGTTTTCACTCTCACCACATGGGAGCAAGTGAAAAGGGGAGCAGGCCTCAAAACCTGGGTGGGGGATCATGGAGGAAATACCTGCTGTGAGTCCCTGATGGTTTAGGGAGCTGTCTCCTCCTTCCACAGCCAGTCCCTCCCAGCAAAGGCAGACACCAACCTACTGTTTGTGACCATCATCTGCATCCTTACAGAGGAGGGATGAAAGATACCCTGGGGCTGCTGCTGCAAAGAAAAAGGATAGAGGTACCTTGGGCTGCCACAGGGAAAATGTGAATCTGAACATCTCTGGCCGAGGTTTCTGATCAGCTGAGCAGCTCAGGGAGCCGCTGAGGTCCAGCTGCTGATCACCACCAAAGGGCTTTCCCAGCCTGCAGCCCCTCAGTGCAGGGCCCGAGGGGGTCTCACCAGGAACCCGCCCTTCCCCATGACACTGTGTTCAGTAAAGCAAAACATTGGAGCTGAAATCAAAAATACCTCAAAAAAGCACAGATGCTGACAAAAAGAGATTTTTACATTATGTTTAAAAAACAGTTGGTTGTTTGTGAAAACAACAGAGTAAATCAAAACCTGCCTTCATGAAAAGTTCACTGTACACAAAAAACTTTGCTTTCTAAAGAGGCCGTGGTCTGGGCACTCTCCAGATGCTTGGCCTCTGTTAGAGGAATGAGGGTCATTGTTTATACTGCAGAGACAAAGAAACAGCCACAGAGATTGGAAGTGCTATGGCTGCACTCAGCTGGCAGATGAGTAGTGATGGCAATTTAGATTTAGCTCCAAATAAAAATGTTTTGTTTTGAACTATTTCAAATTAAATGGAAAAAAAAACAGGTGGGGTTTGGGTTTTTTTCAGTGTTTTGGGAGGGACCCTCGAATCTGTCTTCAGCCTCTGTACTGCTCAGCTCTCACTCCCTCCCATTATTTCCCTACTAGGAAAAACAGCAACCAACCCCCAACTGGGTTTTACTTCTGAGCTGGACCCAACCTCAGTTTTTCAGTTTTGACTCTTTGCAGAGGTAAATACTCACAAGGGGATTAAAAAAATAAACAAACAAAAAACCCCAAACTGCAGAACGAAAAAAAGAAAGTCAGGGGGGAAAAAAAATTAGCGCGTTTCCTATTGGAAAAAAAAGTTACGGGCAAAAAAAGCGCCGCACCTTCTCTCGGGGCTGAGGGACACCCCCGGCCCGGCCCGGCCCCGCTCCCATCACGTGTCCGGGCCTGGACCGGGCCCAGCTCCTGCCCCGGGGCCGCTGCTCCTTCCCGGGGCCGCCGCTCCTCCCTCGCTGCCGGCACCGAGCGCGGGAGGCTCCGGGAGCGGCTCCGGGAGCGGCCCCGGCACAGGCGGCCCGGCCCGGCCGGGCGGGGGCGATTCGGGGCCGCCAGAACGGCCCGAGCGAACAGAGAGCGGTCACAGCTCCCGGAGCTCCGCTCCCAGCTCCCGGAGCTCCGCTCCCAGCTCCCCGAGCTCCGCTCCCAGCTCCCGGAGCTCCGCTCCCAGCTCCCCGAGCTCCGCTCCCAGCTCCCCGAGCTCCGCTCCCAGCTCCCCGAGCTCCGCTCCCAGCTCCCGGAGCTCCGCTCCCAGCTCCCCGAGCTCCGCTCCCAGCTCCGCTCCCAGCTCCGCTCCCAGCTCCCCGAGCTCCGCTCCCAGCTCCCGGAGCTCCCCGGGCTGCGCTGAGGGCGCGGGATGTCCCGCCCTGACTGCCCAGATGTGCCGCCCTGGCAGGCGCTGCCCGGACACGGCGGGGACGGATCGGCGCTATGGAACGGGCTGTGAGTACCTGTGTGTGTCCATCGGGGTGGGCTGGGGGAGCTGTGCAGCGAGCGGGGGGACCTGCGGACTGTCCTCGCTGCTTCCCTGTGCCTCCAGCCTGCGGCTCTTTTCTTGATTGCCCTGTAGCTCTTGCCATGCTGTACGTGCAGCAGCCGGAGCCGTGCTGGGTAACACGGCAGGGTCGGCTGAGGCTCTGAACACGCAGCCTCCAGCCCCATACATCTGCTTTACACTGTACTTTCCAAAGAACTTTTCAGTTGTTTTTACAGAAGCTTGGGGTTTCTCTGCACAGTGCCTCCAGTGCTCTCAGACTGGGTTTCCTCTCAAGCAATAACACGTTCCAGTGGTGGCACATTACATTTACAAGCCATTCCTCATCAGTAAAAGGACACGAATCTTTCCCGTGTTTGAGCAAAAAACAGGAATTTCCAACTTCTCGAGTGTCACAAAGATAGAAAGAAAACAATTCAATCCCTGTGAAATGGGCAGTCACCAACCACATTTTTAAATAGCTTTTGGGCAGATTCTGATAAAATTATTGAGATTAGGGGGGTTCACCAGCCCATGCTCCCTCTCCCATTTGTTCTGGGTGTAATAATACATCCATGCTAATGCACTGTGATGGCTGGGGCTTGGGGCACGTCAGGCAAATTATTTATCAGGTCAGAAGAGGGTCTGTGAGCTGAAGAGGCAGCGAATGCTATGGCCTGGAGAGGGCTGGGAGAGGAAGGTGGTTGTTTCAGTGGGACTGTTTCTTACCCCTTCACAAGCCTGCAAGGCTTTATTCTCCTCCTGGGGCCAAAAAAAATGAATGTTTGGAAGAGAGAGGGGAGGTTCCTCACCCTGTGCTTGGCTGCTCAGGAGGGGCCCATCTCCCCAGAGCACTCAGCTGTGAGCTGAGCTCTCTGTAATTCTGAAAATCAGGCTACCAGCACACCAGACTGCGTCTGAACTTAGGGAAACACCTCTCGAGGCTGCTGAGCCTGCAGAAGGGGACTGTGTGTTACCTTCTCCTACCTTGCAGGCAGCTGAGCAGTGTTAGAGCCGTGGTGCTCAGGAGGAGACGGAGTTTTCCCTGTTTGCTGGGCAGCAGCTCATCCTGCCCAGGCACTGCCACAGTGGCTCATCCTGCCCTGAAAGGGCCACAAAACATCAGGCACTGCTTAAATCCAGCAGAGCTGCAGCCCCCAAACTGTGCCACGTGTACGCCAGGACTTACCCCGGGTCAGCAGGGTGAAGGAGCAGCATTGCCCAGAGGTCCTGGGGACAGTCTGCAGGAGCCAGTTCTGCCCAGGGCCAGTGGGATCCCACACACAACCTCCTTCTGCCAGGGTACCACACTGGAGACCCTGCAAGTTCCTTCCTGGGACCCCTGTATGTGAAAACAGACATCTCAGCATCCAACTGCTGCCTTCACACAGCAGCTCTGCAGTTCCTCTGCATTTAAGTTTGTACACTCCATAAAAGTGGGGTGGAGAGTAAGAGGAGGTGATGGCAGCGGCCGTTTGCAGGCGGTTACCTGACTGTGACTGGCACTGTGAGGGCAGGGCTGGCAGTGCCAACAGGAGAGACTGCAGTAAAATGGGCCCAGCCGGCTGGAAAGCTGAGCAAACCACGTATTTAAGGACTGGGGCAAGCAGATAAATAGGGCACCCTGTCCTGTAACAGCATGGATTTCATCCATTCGTTTGCTCTGGCCTGGAAAAACAAAAAAAGTCTGAAAAGCAGCTCTGACAGGAAAGTTGGAAATTGTCTTTGGAGCAGGGCCTGCATTTTTGTTACCTGCTTCTGCAGCATTTGACCCAACAGAGCTTTTGCCTCCAGGTGCTGCAACAGCAAGTAAGAGCAGCAGTGATGGCACAGTGCTGCCACTGTGGCACTGTCACAGTGTCTGACAGAACCCAGTGTGCAGCTGGGCACTGAACCTCTGCCCCTCTGTGCTGTGTTCCTTGGGCTCTGCTTCATCCCCACCTCCTGGGATAGCTCTCAAGACATTCAGCTAATTAAATCCTACAGCCTGCTCTTGCTTTGTTTATAGACTTCAGAACTTCTAAGCAGCTGAATGAGATGAGCTTTGTTCTGGTCAGGCAGCACAGCAGATGTTTTGGTTACTCCATTTTTTAGGGCTTTGCATTAACCACTGCACCAAGGGGCATCTCTGTATTTCAGCCTCCTCTGTCCTCTAGTGCAGAGGATCAAATCATTCAGCATCACTTTGTGATCCTGTAACTCCAAATGAGACCTCTTCACAAACACCCTGAAATGCAAAGAGGAGTTGTCTGGCACCAAAGCCACTTAAAGCAGTAACTTTGAGGAGGTTATTGACTTTGCCTAGGGGGTGTGCCAAAACAAAGAAACAAAACCAAAAAAAGAAACCACGCAGGAATAAAACCCATTACACGACACCCAAACACAGAAATGGAAGGCAACTTCTTCCCCTGCTCCAACACACACAGCTATTTCTTCCCTTTAAATGCTTCTAACACATCTTAAATGGTTAAAGCCAAGTTGTTTCATGCGTGTTTTTGTGTGGGGGGCAGAACAAACCTGGTGCTGGGAGCTGACACATTTCTCTGTGGGCATCCCAGAGCCCAGATGCAAAAATGAAGTTTTGCCACCACAAGACCCAAACCAGGGTAACTCAGCTGAGAGCTTGAAGCCTTGGCCTTTGCCCTTCAGATTTCTGTAGAAGGGTAAGGGAAGGATGGCAGCCCAGTGCAGTTTGAAGAGAGCAAAACCAGTGATCCTTACCCAAAACAGAGTGCTTCTCATGTCTGTGTGTTCAGCAAGACATCTAAACTAAGCTGGTGCAGACACAGAAGTCAAACACTCTGCCAGCCCTCAGGGGCTCAGGAGATGGGACCAAGGGAAAGTCAGTGGGAAAATATCACCTCCCTGCAGGGCTTCAGGCAGGGCAGGCTTTTTGGTGCCAGCATCCTGGTCTGGGGGGATGAAGCTCATCTGAACACATCTATTTTACACAGGTCCAGCTGCAGGATGGGCCTAGGGTATGGCATTATTGTTCCTTGAACACTGTCAGGACTCCTCCTGAGGCAGAGGAACAGCAGCACAAGGTGAGGAGGGTCCTGGGAATTTCCTTGGCTCTTGCTGAGGGAATGAGGATGGAAAAACTACTGGAAACAAGGCAGGAGGGAGACATGCACTCAGACCTCTCCCCTTGCAGGCCAGAGCCCAGGCAGGTCTCAGTATCCAGCCCTGGGTGTTACCACATGGCTTTGTTCTCATGAAAAGTATTCAACCCACATGAAATGAAAACAAACACCCCAAACCTGAAGCATTGCCCCAGAGCATCCCCACCAACCAGAATTTTACAAGCTTCCCTGATGATTACAAAAAAAATCTCCTCAAACCCATCACTGCTGGATCCCACATGTGTTCTTTAGATCACTTCACAGAGAAGCAGGTGAGACACCTCCACCAGCAGGCCCAGCCCCACATCCTGCATGGCCACACAGTGCATGGCCCCTCTGCTGCCCAGCCCAAACCCACCAGGGGCAGCTCCAGGTCAGGAGGGAGCCAGAACACTCCACGTGCAGCTGGGCAGAGCTGACCAGGGACAGCCAGGGTGTGCCTGTGGGATGGATGTGCCCATGAGCCAGGCTGGGAGTGGCCAGCAGAGCGTGGTGCCAGTTTGGGACCCCCTGGCTCGGTGTAACCCCATTTTCAGCTCACCTCACTGTCACAGCTGCTTGTCCCCAGGCTGGGTGGGTCAAATAACTGCTCTTCAAGGCACAAAGCAACGTGCCAGAATCACCATTCTCGACTGAATTCGAGGACAGCATCCAGAGGCTTTTTCCCACCTTGGCCCTGAACAGAAGTGCCAAGTGCTGGAGGGGTGATGAGTGATGCAAGGGAAGGAGATTTCCAGGATGAGCTCAAGGCTTCATGTCATTCAACTGGGAAAGAAGGATTAGGAATTTTTGTTTTAAATCATCATTTAACTGCTTTTATTGCAGCTGTTCTTGGCCATATTTCAGAATCCTCCTCTCAAATAAATGAAAACCAGGCAGAGGACTGGGCCTTCTGCCCGAGCGTGCAACAGTGCAGGTCGGATTCCTGCCTGGATGCTCACCAGGGTACCATGCCCAGCTCTGGCCACTTCCAGCTTTCCAGCCTTTTGTAGCCTCTTGGGCCACGCAGGCTGTGCCCCACTTGGCTCTTGCAGCACATTCCTTATTTATGGGTTCCTCCCGGACATGGGACCTGTCAGCCTGTTCCCACTGCTCAGCTCAGCCCTCTCACATCACTGGTGCTCACAGCCCCCTCCCTCCCCCTGCTGTCCTGGGGGGACAAACTGCACTGTCCCAGTCAGACCCAGGATCCCTCTGCATCCATCCCCAGGCAGCCACAAAGAGGGACAACTGCCTGCCTTGCCAAGCCCAGAGGACACGGGAGGCAGTGCTGGCAGCTGAGCCCACGTCCCCTGAGGCCCCAAGTGATGCAGCAGCCTGTGAGCCCAGCCCAGCTTCACAAGCTGGATGGAGATGCCCCACAAGGAAGCAGAGGTGCCTCTGCCTCGGATGCAGATCCTCAGGGATATACTCAGGAATATGCTGTGCTCAGAAATGCTCTGCTGTGCTCACACTCCTTTAGTTTGGCATCAAGTACTTCCTGCTCACTTCAATAGCCCTGTAATTTTTTTCCCCTGGTGTCAAGATGGATGAATAATCTTTCTGACTTTAGGACATACCAGAGCACCGGCCAGAATCATCAGTCCCTCTGTATTCCAGAACAGGACAGCTTTTCCCACACTGCCATCCATGGATAGTTCTTACACCTGTGTAATAACCAAGGGTATTTCCTTCCAAAGAAAGAAATATCTAACAAAGACTGGAAAATCCATATAATTAGATCAAGGAATCACTTCAAGGGCTGGCAACTTCATTTGAAAATGAGATGTCTGTATTGAGCACTGAACTGTTTTATTTCAGCATGGAAATCACCATTTCAGATCCTTTACTTTCAATAAATGAATACACAGAAGAAAATCCAGGCTATCAGCCCAGGCTTGTAACAATTCAGGGTTTTTCTTGGCTTTTCCAAGGGCATTTATTGCCAGAGTCTGAGATGCTGGCAGGATAAATCCGTAAGCCATGGAAATTACGAGTTTCATGACACACACAATTTATTCCAAACCCTTGACAATAAAATTAAACACAGGAAAGAGCCAGGACTTTCATCCAGCTCCTTAATTACCATCTGGAGTCTGGCAGCTGAAATAAGATCAGACTTTTCTATAGAAAAGAAAAAATAAATTTGCTATTACTGTGAGAGAAGAGATGGGACTGCACAAGGAGCTCACGTGGAGACACGAACAGCCCAGTGCAGTCAGGATTTATCCCACTGGGGACGTGCATCTCCCACTGGCTTTGGAAACCACACACACAGAACTGCACAGCACCTCAGTGCAGCTCCTTCCAGCACAACTCAAGGACCAAAGATACCTCACTTTTAGTTCTTATGAACTTTTTGAGACAGGGTCCCTATTTTAGGTATCTCAGTAGCACCCAGCAAAAACTCTTGCTCGTGATTAGGCCAAAGGAGGACAGACTCCTCCTCAGCAGATCCAGCTCAGTGGCACATCCTGCGTGCAGTGGGACCATCCCTTCATGTCCCCAGAACTTCTGGAAAATTACTGAAGCCTGCTGGGAACCACATCTTAACAAGAAAGATTTAGTCCAGGACTGGGACATGTTGGAGCAACCAGGACCTGCCGGGGGGGGGGTTGCATGTGACAGATGTGAAATGCAAACACATCCTCTACGTGTCACAGGGACTGCTTCATAAGGCTGGCCAAGTCATGTGCCAGAAAGAACATAAACAGAAAACAGATCCTGAATATTCTAAATATTTTAACAACAATTTACAAGAGGTCTGAGGAAATTCTGCAATCCTGCTATTAGAATCAAAGCTGTGCCAGTTAAAACATCTGCCCAGGCTGGGAGAGGAGTGAAAGGTACAGGGAAAAGAGCCAACAAATGAAGAAAACCCCAGTGGTCTCTAAGAGAGGCCAGAAAAAGGCAAGAAACAAGGCCTGAAGAAAAAACCATTGTCATCAGGACGAGGAAGAAGTGACTTTAAATGCACCAGAGCCTTACACCAAGGCACAGACCTGCTGTTTGCCAAAATAAAGGTTTCAGAAACGGAGACAAAGCAGATGAGGTCAATAAACATTTTGGAGCTGCACTTGAGAAAAAGACAGGTGATAGCATATGAGGATGAAATACTCTCTATTTCAACAGTAACTCAGAGAAGCAGTTAACCAGTAATGAAAAAGCACAATATGAAAATGATGAGGTCTGAGTAATGTCCATCTAACAGTGTTAAAGGGGCTGGCCAAGAAACCAACCAGTGTCATCATTTTGGTTCCTCGTAAGTCTCGAAATGTTGCCCAGACCCCGCAGGTGCCATGTGTGAGTGTCACACACTGTCAGGGGGTGTATAAAACACTTCTGTGCACTTGGGGGAAAACCTTTGGGTGGAGTTAAACTCAGGAACTGCTCCTTGCTGAGGACTGAAGGGACTGTGACTGTCTCTGCCCTCTGCACAGCTCAGCTGTGGCTGCTCCTGCAGTGGGGACAGAACCTGCCTGTGCTGCTGCCCACGCCTGGCCAGCTGCCTCCCTGAGCTGGTTACCTGCTCCTTGCTGCCTTCTTACTGCTCTTCCCTTGTTATTTTCTGTTTGCAGTTGAAGAACTGATGGAGTAAGACAGAAGATCCCCAGGAAAAGGGTAAGTGAGGAATATCTTGTGTTTCACAGGGCAGCCTCATCTATCTATGTGAACAAAACGTTCCTAACCCCAGGCTCTGTCTTGCTTCTGCATATTGGGATTTATTTCCCCACCTCTTGCTTAGGGTGATGTGGCAGAGGAAGAACACCTGTGGCCCCTTCTAACCTTATTAATGGAAGTTATTTATAATGGTTTAATATTTTATAAAGATTACTGGCAGGAAAAGCGCCCTGTGTGCATTCCAGAGCATGCCTGATGTATTCATTTTGAATATAAATCACTGTAGGTTCAACAAGAGCTGGCTCTGTATGCAGGGAAACACCAGCAACACACTGCCACTGGAGAGTCTGCCCCTCAGCTCTGGGCCTCCCTGTCTTGAGTCAAAAAGGGTAAAAGCAGCAAGTAACAGTTACGAAGCTTGGGGAAAAAGAAAAAAGTAATGACTTATGGAAGAATGGCACCGTTCATCCTTTTCCATCCTGCTTTTCCCAAAGCAGTGAAATCTCTGGAACAGCAAAACGTGTTCAGCAGCAAGGGATGCAGGAGGAAGGGCTGATTTTGGGTGGTGCTTAGAGAGTGGTTTTCAGGATGAATGATGACTGAACTAACCAGGTCACAGAGCTGGAGTGCCAGGCTCAGGGTCAGGTTTGCAACCCCATGTGCCTTTGGGCAAGTTCCTCAAGGTGTCTCAGTGCTTGTCTGAGTAAAACACACTTGGCTGCTGGTATTTTTTAATGATCTTTCAGTTAGTCTTTCCTGCATGCCCCAGACCTGCCAAATCCCTGCTGCTGACACCCTCTGTTTATTTACAGATGGACATTGGTGCCAGGCAGCTCAAACAAGGCTTTTAGCAGTCCAGGAACACCACAGAGACAATGAGAGTTCGCCTCAAAGGGGATGTGATCTGCACCCTCCTCCTGCTGGTAGCACTTTGCTCTTTACTCTACTCCCAGCTGGAACATTTAGTCCCGGCAGGAAACAAGGAGCCAACACAGAAGAAGCCTCCAGCAACCCCAAAAGTATCCTCAGATCCCCGAGCACCTCAGAGACTGATGCCAGCAGAGGCAACAGCACCCAGACCCCAAGTTACCCCTGTCATTAGACGAGCAGAAGTGCCCAAGAACAGGGTCCAAGCTACAACTCCCTCCCCACCGACTGATTCTGCCTTCAACTTCCAGCACTATCTCCTGAACAAGGACAAGAGGAACTTCAACCTCCTCATCAACCAGCCCAGGAAATGCCGGAAAACACCTGGGGGGCCCTTTCTGCTCATTGCCATCAAATCGGTGGTTGAAGACTTCGACAGGCGTGAGATTGTCCGGAAAACTTGGGGCAGGGAGGGTTTGGTGAACGGGGAGCAGATCCAGCGAGTGTTCCTCCTGGGAACGCCAAAGAACAGGACAGTGCTGGCGACGTGGGAGACCCTGATCCACCAGGAGAGTCAGACATACCGGGACATTCTGCTCTGGGACTTCATGGACACTTTCTTCAACCTGACCCTGAAGGAGATCCACTTCCTGAGCTGGGCTGCCGAGTTCTGCCACAACGTCAAATTCATTTTTAAAGGTGACGCCGACGTTTTTGTCAACATTGAGAACATTGTTGATTTCCTCAAGAGACACGACCCCACTGAGGACCTCTTTGTTGGGGACATCATCTACAATGCCCGTCCCATCCGTGTCCGGAAGAGCAAATATTACATCCCAGAGACCATGTACGGGCTCAGCATCTACCCGGCCTACGCGGGGGGAGGAGGGTTCCTGCTCTCCAGCCGCACCATGAGGAGGCTCTCGAGGGCGTGCAGGGAGGTGGAACTCTTCCCCATCGACGACGTCTTCTTGGGCATGTGCTTACAGAGAATCAACCTCAAGCCCATTTTGCATGAAGGATTCAAGACCTTTGGCATCGTCAAGCCTTCTGCTGCCCCACACCTACAGACATTCGATCCCTGTTTTTACAAGGACCTCATGGTAGTTCACAGTCTGAAAGTTGCCGAGATCTGGCTGATGTGGAACCTGCTCCACAGCCCACGTCTCTCCTGCACTCAGAAGAAGCAAGTGAAAAAGCCTTTCCAGTGGAAAAAGAAAGCTCAAACTACAGCACAAACATCACCCCTCAGATGATGCAGGCAGACTGCAGCACAAACACGCAGCAAACCAGCTGAGAAAGGGAACCTGGAACTGGTGCAGCCCAACAAACCAACTGCACAAGTATTTTAGCACATCTTGTTAAGAGAACACAGCAAACAACTGCAGGAATTTGCCCAAATTCCACATTTGCACACGCAGGTCATGTAGGTCCTCCTCTATTAATGAGTCCAAATAATCATAGCAATATATATAATTTATTATTATTTATTAGGATTATACTAGTGCTTAGCGGGACACTGTGTAAAAGGACATTGAAAAATGCAGTCCTTGGAGGTTTTTCAGCATTGTTAGAAATGTGAGAAATGAAAGAAGATACAAGGTAAGAGCACAGACACCAGGGAGCACAGGGATCATTGTCAGCTTGCTACTTGACTTGGACTCATTGACAAAAGACCAAACAGTAACAAGGGTAAAGGAAATCAGGTCACCTCAGCGTGGGCTCAGCTGGAATCACTGCTGCCTGGCTGGTTTTCTGGAGGCCTTGGGAGAACAACTGAGAGCTGCTGAAATGGGGGCCTGTATGGTGCAGACTGGCTGGATTACAAGGAATCAAACTGGGTGCTGAGGCTGGCTGAGCACAGGACAGGTACACAGATAACTGGGAAGGAACAGACTTCCAAAGGGCCTCTAAAGAAGGACAAGAACTTTGGGCTGATCCCTCTAAGCCTTGATCTTCTGTTACTCCCAGCACTCCTCTGTTCAAATACCTGCTCCACTGACACACTCAGGACTCAGAGGGCCAGTTTTTGACACTTCCCTGAGCTCAGGCTCTCTGCACTGTGCTGACTGACATTCAGTGAAAACTCAAAAGTCATCCAGCAGTTTTTGATTGCTCTCACCAGCTGATCCACATCTTCAGAAGGTTTGACTCTAGAGATTCTCTGGCCTTTGCTTTTAAGGGTAAAACCACACAGAGCTGCTGCTTGCGTCACATCTGGGAGCTGCTTCAGACCAAAGACCAACTTGTCAATGGACTGGGCTGCTTTCTCTAGACCTCTTGCTTGGCACACAGGCAGCTGCAAAGAGCAGCCAAGACTTTTCATGCTGCTGTGGGTGTCGTGAAGGGAAAAAGTACTTTTCAGACCAAAGGGCTTCAGAATAAAAGCCTGTCTAAATTTATTGCAAGAAATCAAACCCACACAGCAGTCTTTCTGCTGGGATTTCCAAGGTCCAGTCAGTAACTTCTTAACTATTTTAAGCATCAGACAAGAACACTGGATTACATGCTTTTTCAAAGAATAGTGAATACTTTGCATTTTGTTTTTTCCAACAGTAGACTACCTTAAAAGAATATCCTTTCTTTAGACATCAGAGCAGAAGTAAATTCCTCTAAATCAGGGTTAAAAAGCTACTAAATTCATGGGGCAAAGAGCCTGAATTAACCTTTGATACTGTGTTTGTTAGTTCTTTTGCAGTTTTTTCCCTTTAAAAAAAAAACAAACTCCTATCCATCAGAGAAGCCCCAGTGCCACATGAACACAGCTTCAGAGGAAATTACTATCAGTCATAAACATCCAGGAAGCTGCTGTCCCTTGAACAGAGCCTGCAGCAGCTGCATTCCATCCCTGTGTAGAACCTTCCTCCCTCCGGGCAGCAGTTCAGGCTCAGTGCTTGTCCCAGCTGTGCACACCACGGAGCACTGGGACACTGCTGGTTCCCACTGGGACATTATTAGCAACAGTCTCACATTTTCTTCATCATAACCATGAATTTAAGCCTTACAGTAATGTATTTCCAAGGAGAGGTCAGCTGTATAGGAATCAAAAGACTCCTACATTTGGGATCTTTTCAAGATGTGATCCTGAAACACAAAATGCTCATGTGAGCTGCACAAGGAGCTCTGCAGGGAGTGGAACTAAGCCAAGGCCTTGCTGGTGGGAGAAAGTCACCCTTGCCCCTGTCTGCTACCATGTGTGATACTTGTGTATTTGTGAGCTTGTACAAGAATGTATTACCTGTGATTAGTTTACAGTTTTGGAGATTATTTATACCATAATTAAAAGACAGCATGCAGACATGCCTCTGGATGTTGGAGTGAGTCTGTCAATAACACCTGCACACACGTTGTAAGACTGATACCACAGGGATTCTTCAGGAAGACATTAACATGAAAAATACATTATTCATTATTTTGGATAACTTGGTCTTTCCTTGTGCTGGACTTGATTTGATGGCAATGACAGAAAAATAAACATGGCTTACCTTCCCATTTCCCACAGGGCAGCTGTTCAGGTTCAGCAGTCCTTAGCAAGGTCTTCCTTTTAAGCCTGGAGATGCACAGATTGGCTCCTCCCTCTATAGTGTCTTCAGATCTGCAATCTACCACAACACAGCAATAATGAGTGCATTTTGTCCCAGATCAAAGTTGCTGCCCAACATCTGTGTTGACACAGTCTGTGCCAGCACATACCCTGAGAGCTGGCAGAGCCCAGACCAGAGCAAACTGTTTACTCCACTGTCTCAGGCTGGGGAACGGCTCATTTCTTTTATCCAGTGATTACTAAATCGAGTCTCTGTTAAGGAAAGATACATCTGCTTTTGTTCTCCAGCCTCTGCTGCATGGCCTGTTTGACCTGGCTTTAAGTTCCCATTTGCTTCTGCAGTTGAGCAGGAAGTTCCCAGCCCTGTGTGTGAGCTCTGGGGATGCTGGAGAACAGGGCTCAGCCCCTGCAGTTCATGACATTCTACTTACTGCTGCAGTAGGCAAAAAATCTTGGACTTCACACAAGCTGGAGATTGTTTCCTAGAAGATGAGGGTCTTTTCAGAAAATCCTGTGTGCATGACAGCTGGCAGGAAGGACCCTCTACTGACTTCTCTGATGCACCTCAGAAAAACAAAACCATCCATTTCAGAGTGACATTCCGAGTACCTTTAATTAACTGGCTAATTCAACACACCAGTCATGTCTGCTAAAAAGCCTTGCTTGGCAATTTTTTTTCATGACTAACCCATGATGAGAAAACATAAAACCATCCCAAGTGGGTTCCACCAGTAGCAAGAAAAAGCAAAGCAGACTTTCTCAGGACAGGCATAGACTTCTGAAATTAATAAAGTACAGTAGGTTTTATTGAATCCCAGGGATCCACACAGAGTCATGTTTTATTCCTACTGTACATAAGTAGCCAGATTTGGTCACTCTGACGAGCAGAGCTGGCTTGAACCTCACATTCAACACCTCCGAGTGCGTCTCTGGACACGGGAACTGGCAGCGAGTGCCAAGATCCGTCAGTCGGTCAAGCCACTGCAGGCTCAGCATCATCAAACAGAAAGCCAAAGATGGCTTGAGCAATGGAGTGGTAAAATCTTGTTCTTCCTGTCTGCAGTTTAATTATTCATCTCTCTGCAGCAGGTTCTCGGAAGCAAAGCCCAACTGCAAATTCAAACAGTACAAAATAATCAAACAGCTCCGAGAACCCTCTCTGAATGTTAGCACGGAGAACATTCCCTGGAGAGTGCTGGAAGACCATCAGATCAGAGAGAAAGAGTCCAGCCCAGAGCCCAGCCTGAAGAACTGCCAGTCTCCTGGGCTGTACCTCTTCCAGCTGGAGCTGCAGGTCTCAGCAGCCCAGAAAATGTCCACATTTCTTAACGATGCCACTGACTCCATGGACAGTGTTAAAAACCAGAACTTTTAAATACAACTTGTCATTACTTTCTAGGCTTATGGTCAGTAAGAAAACCATAGTGAGACATGAGAGGGGAAAGTAAACCCCAAAGAAGCACATCTGAGTCTCTCCAAGAGTGGGAAACAGCTCCCCCACCATTCCTGACCAGCCCAATGCTCCCTCCAATCCATCCAAACCCAGCTCACGGATCTTCTCTCTCTCTCTCCCTCACTTTCCCAGCCCATCTGTTGAGAAGCCCTGTGCTGAAAACAGGGGGAAAGTACAAAATAACCCAGGTCTGCAGTGACAGCCTTGTCCCAGGGGCTGACTGAGCTGAGTGGGAATCAAGGCATGATATTAAAACAAACGGTGTCTGTAGCCATGGAAGCAGAAGAAAGGGGTGAAATGACCTCCACAGCCTCTATACTTGTGGGTGCAACAGAGCTACCAGTGAGGGGTGGGGTGAACTCGGGATTTCAGGGCTGCAGTTCTAGGAGAGACGAGCAGAGGTGAAAAGGGAATACAGTGAATCAGAGTGTTTTGATTATTTAGTTGATTAGACTGCACGTTGCATAATCATGCAGGGGTTTTGTGATTGGTATTTACACTAAATGTCTCTCTGAAGGATAATAATACTGGCATGAAACTTAGGCACTCAGTGGAATATCTAGTGTAGGTGTGAAACATTAAGGCATTTAACACCAGCTTCCAGAATTGCAATATGCAGTACTTTAAAATAACTGAAGGAGTAACATTTAAAGGGGAATTCATTAGTGTATCAAAGAGAAAAGATTACATTAAATCATTACAACCAGTCCAGAACAAAAGTTACTGTTACAATGCTGTCTTACACCACAGTGAGTGACCTGCTCTGCAAACTCCAGCTTACCTTTCCTGCTGTTTCAAGCACTTGGTATTCCCAGATTAGGAGAAGGAATGATTTTGCCTGCTGGAAAAACAGACATCCCTGCAAACACCACAAAAGCCTTGGAGGTAAGGTTTGGCAGACAAAACATTTAAACAGTGACTTTACTATTTACAGCAAAAGTTCACACAGGTAAAGAATATGATATTTGAGTTGCCCCCAAACCCTCCAAGTAACACAGCCCAGCAAAACCAAATCCCTTCGTGGTGCAGTTTTCACTCTGAACTGGTTCCACACCATGGCCTGTGACAAAGCCCCCTGATTCACTAACTCCTACTCACTTCTCCCTGTTTTGCTTCGACCTTCTCTCTGAAACATCCTGGGCCACTAAAAGAACCTTTACATGAAAAGAACCAACCAGAACTAACTCATACTTTAACTCCCCAGGCACACAAAGTGAGGCATTTACTTGGCTCCATGTGCTGTGTCAGGTTATGTGTGACAGAGTCACAGAGGAGGCTTTGCATTGGTGTACTCACAGTAAAAAAAAAAAAAAAAAAAAAAAAAAAGGTGTTCATTGGGCAAAAGTTGAAAAGGACCACCTGTAACTAGCATGGAATAATGTTTCTTACAGCAGGACACCGAGAATTATTCCAAACTCAAAGACTTATGAAACACAACCAGACCATGTGAAATTGTGCCAAATCAGACAACTTGCTCCTTGCCCAAACACTCTGAAGCAAGAAAGCACTGAGGGCTTGGACACAGCACTTCTTTCCAGGAAGAGCCACACTGACTCACACCTGCAGGTTCACTCTCAATATACACTTTGAGCCATCAAACACAAAACCTCACAGAAGTCCAGCTTGGCAGTTAAGTGACTAACAGGCTCTAACAACAGGTAGAAACCCATGTGAAGTGGGCAGCAACACCCAGGATGTCCCTTTGGAAAACACCAGCTGGCCACTCACCTCCAGCCAGCCCCCAGGAACGATGAGTCACCATCTTCTCGTAATGCTGAGCCCCAGGAAAGACTTTGTTTTAAACAGGTTTGATGGGAGCTCTGGAATATGAACCATCATGAGCACATGAATCAGTTCTCACACACCACCTGATTACTATTTCAGAAAAAAAATCTGTTTAGAATTACAAGTGTGACAGCTCCCAGCAACAGCAGATTGGGTTTTCTCTACAGGAACTGCATTTTGGGGAACAGAGGGTTCTAGTATTACACAGCAGCACTGATCTATGTAGCACTGCCTGTAGTCTTCACGGGAGCCCAGGGACTGCTTGCAGGCCTGAAGAACACAGGAAGAAATGTCAGCTTAACCTCCAAAAAGAAGGGCAGTTTTATTAGGTGCAAACAAATGAAATTCTGTGGAAAATACTGCAATATTCAAGTTAAGCAGACACACACACATAAACTCTTCATTTCTTTACAAAGGAAAAAGGCACACATCAAAATATGCACTGTGTGTTTTATTAAAAATGCAATCGTACTTAACTTTATATCAAACAGTTTTATCATATGAAACCAAAAGGATGGACCAATGCACATGTTGCCAACATGCAGGATCTGTATCAAACCACACATAATTCTGAGAAGGAACAAGGGCACCTGCTGAGATGGGATCTGATGCAGCCCAAACCTCATTTCCTTGGGAGGGGAAGGTGATGATCCCCTGGCAGAGCGGGAGGTGGCACACACCTGAGCAGCCCTGTGCACAGAACACCTTCTGGTTCACACAAACTGCCTTGTGCCAGCCCCTCCTCCTTGTCACACTGCCATCCTCACCTTCTCCCCAGAGTTCCTCTGTTCCCTATTCCTTGCTCTCTTCTTTCTGGTGCTTCAAAACCACCATCAGTCCCCTCCACCCATTCCTAAACTTTTCATGCCAGCAAGTCCTTAGCTGCTCCTCAGCAGCTTCCCTAATGCTTTAGCACAGGAAGAGCTTGGCTTTGTTCAGGCCAAATAGGAGCAAACATCTCAGAGGAGTGACCTGGGAACAGCTGCATTCACAAGGGAAGGGTGAGGAGACCCAGAGGAGCTGCTCCAACCTCCCTGGGTGCTCCTTCAGATCTGCCTCTCCCCAGAGTCAAAGGCTTTGTGCTCAGCCCAGCAGCAGCCAGCAGGCAAAGCTGCCTTTCATTTTTTGTCTGTGCAGAGAAATTTTCAGTATGAAGGGACTGACCTAGAGAAGAATCTGGGTTGTCAGGAGAGCACTGTTTTAGTCACTTGGACACACCAGAGCATTACAAGTGAAGATGGGAGTCCCAGGAGTTGTTACACACCTTTGGTGCTGCTCCTGCCCTAAGGCTCGGGGTGCATGTTACAGCAGCAGGCCTGACCTCACTCTTCTGAAGAATTTCAACTGAATATGCTTGAGAGAAGGATCTTGGCAGCATCTGCATAGCCATTAGTCAAATATTCCCATCAAGGATTTATCTCCTCTTGCAGCTTTTGTGGAGCCTTCATTAGAAAAGGATTAATTAAAATTAATTGAAGTCAGCATCAGGATTGCTGTAATATTTTAACAACAAGAATAAGCACTCACACCATCTCAATTCAGAGATCACAAAATCCTGCAGGAGCACACTGAGCCAAGCACTAAGCAAGGTCAGTTTACATTCCAGCACCCAGGGATGTGTGAGGAGGGCCAAGTGCTGTACCCTGCATCACACAGCCAGTGTGGAGGAATGGAAACAGGAGTCCCATTCCTTACACCCTGTCCTTACGCCTGCAGGCTCTGCAGACTCCCCATGCTCTCCTGGAGCACCTCGGGCAGGAGAACACAGGATGAGAATTCCCATTTGCTGCTGCCACTGCAGGCATTCCCTCCCTCCCACTGGGCAACATTCACACTCCTGGAAACTCCATCCATCCCCATGATCCCAACAGGAGCAGAACAACTGCCCTTGTGAGCACAGTGAGAACCCACCGGGCCATCCCCCAAAGTCACACCGACCTTCCACACCTCAGGGCCAACACTTATAAAACACTTTAATGGATCTGCCAGGAAACAGACTGCAAGTTGTTAGTTACTGTTTCTTTGGAGAACACACTGAATTGGCTATAGAGGAACAACACTAGTCAGGTACTTCAAATATGATCTCTGAAAGACAGTAAAACAAAAAGAACTATTTGATAAGAAAAAAAAAAAGCAAGAACATCCATGATTTTATTACAAAAACACCCAGCAACTGTATTTAACACAAAAACAGTAACTGAGAGTCTCTTTTTATTTTTTCTTTCAGTGTACATGCTCATTATTATTCCATTTAATTTACAGAAGGGCTATGTAAAATGAAATTAAAATTAGAGAGGAAACAAAAAGGAAGGTTGAGGCATAGAATTTTCTTAGCAAGCAACGATCACGGGAGACAGCACAGATTGAACAGGGATTCAACAGGAGTGACACCTAGGGATAAAGGTAAACAGTAACTTTTTCCTTATCCATTAGATTTTCCATGGGGCTTTTTTGTTTGTTTTAGCAAAACAGTTTAGAGTATCACAGTATACAGGAAGACTAAATGGCAAAGAACATCTCACACACACACACATTTATCCCTGCTACTGGTCCAGGATCCAAAACTTCAGTTAACATTCGATTTCCTATCTCTCATTCATTGATAAACTATACAGGATTACACTGTACATGGAGTTAAAATTACAAAAATGTCATATTTACAAAAATCTGTACACACATAGTAAAACTCACAAAATTGTCATCTATGTATCACAAGTTGCGACACCAAAATATTAAAAATGGGATAAAATTATACATTTCTCTTGTCCATTTTTTAAAAAGGGTTCATTGTTTCAAAGACAGACCATCTATTTCTCCCAAATAAGACTGGTAAGAGAACTAGAAACCTAAAGTATCCTCCTGGGATAAAATGTCGCGAGCAGCATCTCCCAACTAGAAAGAAGCCTCTATCCTGTCTGCTGGGGTGGGGTGTGCAGTTAGCATATATGTACAGAAATGGTGGAACTACAACAAGGATGTCTTTGGCTAAACCTTTGGCATAAATTAAAATCACACATCAGAAGTTACAGAAAAGGTTTTCCTGGTGATGGCAGAACTCGGGGATTTCTGTCTGAGATACCATTATATACAGCTCCTCTTTCTCTAAGGAAACAGAGTAGGAATAAAGGATTTTGCAACAGAGGCAAATGAGGCAACATTATTTCTTTGTGAAATTTTTCACTAGTATGAAAAATTGTATCAAATCTTTTCACTAAAACATAATTCAATCATAGAAACAACTTCTTCCAGAATTATTTTTTTTTTTTGAAACTGCGTATGAAAAAAATTAGTAAACCAGCCATGAAAGAAAAAAATTGTATCAGCATATCAAGTACATATTAGTGCAGGAAGGTGGATAAATCTGATCCACTGTATAAATAAGCTTTATGCGCAGTGTACATTAAATAACCATCACACCCCACTCACACCCAGTACACAGATGCTCCTCAGTGAAGATAAACATTTATCAAGTAATTAAAGTGTATGTAGTGCAAATGTTACAACCAAGTATTATGCACATGCTACTTGCTTGGTTTAAAGTTACACAAAGATGTGGTGCCTGAAATCATGGACATATATACATCCTTGTCACACTTGGTACAATGTCCTAAGCCACAGAAATACCGATGTGTTTATATCTATATATATATACACACACGTTTTTCTTAAAATGTGACCACCACATCAATACAGTAACACAAACAGACTAAAATCAATACCTGCTTCCAGATGCTCCAAGGCTCAGAAAGTTTGTGCTTCTAACTCTTGCAGTCATTACGTGCCCCTCTTCCATTTCCCCCTTCTGCCAGCTGAGAAGGGGGGACAGTCTCTTCAGGTCTGTGCTGCATAGGATGAGGGCAACGGAGAGGAATAAACGACGGCACAGGCACCTAAGCTGCTTTCCTCCATCAACAGTTCCATGCCCCATGATGAAGGGTTGAGAGAATTCCCTCTCCACACCGCTCCTGGGTGGAAAGGCTTATTGAAAAAAAAAAAATAAATCATAACGTGCTTTCCATATTATAAGTGGCAGCAAATCAAGGCACGCTGTACTAATTGTGTAGCATTGAGATTAGCTGACTCTGCAGGGGAGGCTCACTGGGGAAGGTCCGACGTCCTCAGCTGGCTGCTGGGCCGCGTGGGGCCGTACAGGGTGACAGAGGCTATGTGATTATTCTGCATCACCTGCAAAGGCACAGCACGACAAGGGCAAGTTAAAAGCACTGGTACAGGGAACAGAAACCCTGAGGGATGAAAACAGTGAATATGGAACTGATCCACCCGAAAAAAGAAATCCCAATGCCAGAAAGCAAGCGCTTGGCTGGTTCCTAAAAACAGTGTCTGGATTTCTGTGACACAGCTAAACACCAGCACACTCCACCACTGCTCAGAGCCACGGACATGTACCTCCTGCTGGCATGAGTTCCAGGTGACAAAGTTCCAGCTTTAACATGCAAATGTACAACCTCAGAGAAGAGCTTGGAAAGTCGCCTCTTTCTGCCAGTGGGCACTAAAAATACGGCCACTCCCAAGCACTGGCTTTTATCACAATGGGGAGTAAGAGGCCACCCATAATAACAGTAAACTCTTCACTCTCCCCTGCTCAGACAAAAATAAAGGGTTTTTCCTAACCTCAAAGATCATTCGTTGCAGTCCAAAGCAAAACGTTGACCCAAATGGGTTAGTGTTGTTCGGAGATGATGACCTGGACAGGAAAGAGGGGAAAAGAAGAGTTTAAAAATGGATGTGTGAGGATCAGAAACCCCCTGGGGAAGAATAACTGCTCAGTCATGTAAGGTAAATTACAGCATCTTTATCATGGCTTTCATCAAAAGAAAGTAAATCTACATTATCCCACTGCTAGACTCCAAGTGAGCCAGAGGGCAGCTCTGCTTGATGGCAGAGCCATTTTTAATACTCAGGGAGAAAGTAATCAAAAAGCTACTAGTGACCTCTACAGGAAAACTCTCTTGCACTTCACCTGAACAGGAAGAACCCTAAAAATAAATAGATACACAGGAAGACAGAAGCACCATGTAACTTATTACACGTACTTTTTGTGCAAGATCCTTCCCTTTATGTCTCAGTCCCTACCATAGGTATTTACCATATATAGTCTATTATTTATATTTACTATATACTGTCTATTAATCCATGGGTTTGAGCATGTAAAAAAAATTACCCTGTAAGATGCTGAAACAGAATAAACCAAGTTTTACTAAACAGTATTTTTCAAGATCTATGGATCACTTGCCTTTCAGCTATTTCTGACATTTTTGTATCATATATTGACAATGGCAGACTTCTATTGACCGCAATAACTTTTAGATTACAGCCAAAAAAACCCCTAGAAAATATTTACCTTTTGTCCTTTCTTGTAAACTGGTCAGTTTTTCAAACTGCATTCTGAGCCATTTGAGATGTGCTCAGTGAAGT